AGAGGCCCCAGGAGGGTCACTCACCCAGGCCTGCCCTCGCCTGGTGGACCGGACCCCTGCCAGCCCTGCTAGCAGGGGCATGGGGCTGGTGGGCAGCACAGCTGGGTGGGGAGTGTCCCCTGCCCTCTGCCTCCGTCCCTCCCTGTGCCTCCCCAGGCCTGGAGGCCCGGCCAGCCAGGAGCCCTGCTAGGGCCCTCAGGGAGTCCCCGGAAGCTGTCCTGCCTTTGTGAGACCCTCAGCCTTCCCACCTGCAGAAGGGGTCACTGTGGGACAAAGCACGAGGTGCGTTGGGGCAGCCTCTTGTCCAGTGCGCGCCCAGCGAAGAGGGAGGCTCGGGGTCGGGGGGCTGCCCGGAGGAGTCGCACACGGCTCGGGCCAGCTCACTGCAGAGGCTGAGCCAGAGAGGCCGTGAGGCTCAGCACCTGGGGTGGCGAGCCAGGGGGGCACAGCCCGGCCGGGACCCCAGGAGCGGGCTGCCCAGGCACGGCCTCACCGTCCCCTCTGTGCTGTGGGACACTGAGCAAGTGGCTTTGCCTCTCTGTGCCCTGCCTCTGGCAGGCTCCCCCCCCCAGCGCCTCCTGCTCCCCACAATGTGTTGAGCCGCAGAGAGGTTAAGCGACTACACAGAGCCATCAGCAGTCTTGTACAGGATTTCTGCAGAGAGGCCCATGGGGGTGTCCTGCTCCGTCCCAGGGCCAGGGGCCTCTTCCTGGTCCCCTAAATAATTGATCAGCCCCTGCTTGCTTGTTTGTTTAGCGTGAGGAATGCTCCCCCGCCGAGACGCCTTTATTGCTGAATAAATTTAAATATCTAATCTTCCCTTCATGAATATTACAGCACCCTAAATAGTGGCTAACACCCCCTCCGCACTGGGCGGGCTCCCGGGAGGGCCTGATGCCAGCCCCGCCCCAGCCTTGGCGGTCACCCCTCCACGGGGCCACTGGGGCCTTGCGGTAGCAGGGAGGGCTTGGGTGGCCGCTGGCACCCCCCTTGGGGCAGCGCTGGGCGCAGGGTGCCTCGTGGGGGGTCAGGGGTGCTTGGAGGCCAGAGAGCGCCTAGGGAAGGAGGGGAGCAGGCGGCCCCGGCAGCGGCAGTTCTCACTGCCACCAAGCGGCCCCTGTGCCAGGAGGGGCGCGGGGCCAGGGAGCAGCAGGTGCAGAGCTGCGCGCGTCTGAGAGGCAGCAGGCCGGGGACCACCCCTCTGCTGGGGCCCTGGGCTGGCTGCTCCTCTCTGACTGTCCCCTCGGTAAAGCGGGAGGCAGTGAGGATGCAGGAGGAAGAGCTGTCAGTCAAGAGGGCGGGGTGGGGGCGGAGCCTGGGGCGAGGAGGGCCTGGAGGTCGGAGCCAAGGAGGCAGCAGGCCGGGGATCCCCATGCCAGGGCCAGCCTTGGCCTGCAGGCGGGTGCGCGGGGCAGCAGGGGCACCCAGGCTCTGCACCTGCCCTGGGTGCCTGCCAAGCCGTCACACGGCCCTGGCCCTGTTCTGGAAACTTCCGGGGAGAGCTGCGTCCCAAGCGCCTGCACCGCCCTCGCGCCGCCCCCCGGGTCAGCCCCAAGAGCCTGGCCGCCGGCCTGGCCTCGTCTGCAGGAAGCATTAAGTGTCTGAAGCAGCGCCCTCACCGCGCTGCACTTCCGCAGGGCCCCGCCGCTGGCCAAGGTCGCCCGCGGGGCGGGAGCACAGGGGGTGGAGACCACCGAGGCAGGCCGGAAGCCCCTCGTCGGCGCGGTGACTGGCAGCGCCTCTGCTCCCACCAGCCCTGCGACGTGGCGCCCGTGCCTAGTTCACAGCGGCGGCTGCCGCGGGGGTTGCAGCGCCGGGATCTGGGCTTCCGGGGCACCCCCGCCAGCGAGACGCGTGCTGGGGGCCCCAGGCACTGCCCCGGCCTCCTTCTCCGCCTCCTCTGAAGGGGCTGGAAGAACCCAATCCTGAGCCATGCCCAGGGTCCCCCAACTCCTCTACCCACCCCCAGCCCCAGCCCTAGGATGCACTGGGAAATCAGCTGGTGCCAGCTGCACAAGGCAGAAAATGAGGTTCAACACCCCCCCCCCCAGGGCACAGAACAGCAGACAGGAGCGGGGCGGGGGGTCATCCAGCTGCTGCGCCTGGACCTGTGCCAGGCATTGGCCGGGCGATGGAGGTGACCAGGAGGAAGGGCCGCGGTGCCTTCCCGGGGCCCAGCACGGCCAGCAGAGCGCCTGGCACAGGCCAGCACCCCTGCCCACCCCCTGGGGAGGAGCCCCACTCCCTGGTTTTCAGACGCCACGAGGAAAGACCCTGGCAAAGTCTTGGAGGCAGGAGCCGGGTCTGCAGGGCGCACAGCCTGGCTGCAGGAGCCACCCTCTGCCTCCTGCCACGCCCCGGGGCTCCCCGGGCCCCTCCGAGGCCTCGCAGCCACCCTCTTCTTGGGATAAACAAGCCCAGGCCCGGCCCAATTAAGCGGATGCTGCAACCGCGGGGCTCATTAATCGGCTGGGATCTGCACTTTCGGCGCCACCTGCGCCGCCCAGGGAATGGAGGACCAGGCTCAGGCCCCAGCTGGGACCCGGCCCTTCGGTCTCCTTAGCCTGGGCTTTGCCACGGCCCCGTGGGGCGTCGCCTTAGCAGGCGGTGATGGTGGCGGGACAGAGTCCGGGCGGCCAGCCTCCCCATCGCCCTGCGCGGGCTGCGGTCCCAGCCCCGGCCCCTCGGGCGCGGCGCGAAAGGAGCCGAGTGGGCCGGGAGCGCCCCCTGCCGGCCACCGCACTGTTCCCCGCCAGGGCTTGCTCTGCGGTCCCTGTGTGCGCCCCGGTTCCCCCCAAGTCGTGAAACTAATTGGCGGTGAGGGCTGGAGGAGGCGAGGCCGCAAGGGAAAGGCGCGGTGCCCGCGAGGCCCGGCAAGCCGAGGGCCCTTCTTAGGACTGAAGTATCCAGCCTCTGGGCCTCAGCCTTGCGGTCACGCTTGGCGGGGGGGAACCCCGGCGTCACGTTCACCTTCCCCGCAGTGGACGGGTGCATTCATCGGGCCGCCGGACCCCTGCTCACTGACGAGTGCCGGACCCTGCAGAGCTGCGAGACTGGCAAGGCCAAGATCACCGGTGGCTATCGGCTCCCGGCCAAGTGTGAGTCCCGGGACCGTGGGCGGGGCACCCGCGTGCAGCTCGGGCAGGGGCCGCGGCCTCCGCTGGCCCGCGGACGCCGCCTTCTGGACACTTGCTGCCCGTGGTGCCTGGACCTGGCCTCAGGGAGCGGAGGGAGGGAGGGCGGGAGGCGGTGTGTGCAGCTGGGCAGGTACGGGGACCCAGAGGGGGGCGGCAGCGCCTTCGCGCCCCCAGCCTCAGCTGCGGCCACGCAGAGGTGGCGAGGCGGGGCGGGGCGCCAGCCGGCCTCTGCGGAGCTGCGGAGTCTCGGGGAAGGCCCAGGCCGGCAGGGCGACGGCGAGCCGAGGAGCGAGCGGAGACCACCGGCCTGACCCGGTCGCCCCCGCAGACGTCATCCACACGGTGGGCCCCATCGTGCAGGGGGAGCCCAGCGCCAGCCAGGCCGCCGAGCTCCGCAGCTGCTACCTGAGCAGCCTGGCGCTCCTGCTGGAGCACGGGCTGCGCTCGGCGGTGAGTGCGCGGCGGCGGCGAGGGCGGGGGCGGGGGCGGCGGCGGCGGCCCAGTCCCTGACCCCTCTCCCCCGCCCCGCCCAGGCGTTCCCCTGCATCTCCACCGGCGTGTTCGGTGAGTGGGGTCCGGAAGAGCCGGGGGGAGGGGCGGGCGGCGGGGCACAACAGGCCAGGGCCCCTCACCCCGCCCCGCCCCCCCAGGCTACCCCAGTGAGGCGGCGGCCGAGGTGGTGCTGGCGGCGCTGCGCGAGTGGCTGGAGCAGCACAAGGACAAGGTGGGCCAGGCGCGTGACCCCGCCGCGGTCCCCGTGCCCCCCCCCGAGGTGGGCGGGGCGGGGGCGGGTCGCCCCTCGCTGAGCCCCGCCCCCGCAGGTGGATCGCCTGGTCATCTGCGTGTTCCTCGAGAAAGACGAGAGCATCTACCGGCAGCGGCTCCCGTACTACTTCCCCGCGGGTAGGCACCCCCCCGCCCCGCCCCCTGCCCCGCCCGCCCCCTGCCCCGCCCCCGCTCACTGTCCTCTGCCTTCCAGCCTGAGGCCCCCGCACTCACCCTGACCAGGACTGGTAAGCCGGGCCGGCCCGCGGGCGGCTGCCCTGGACTAACCTGCCCACTAACACCTGCTCACCCGCACGCAGGGGGGAGCCGGGGAGGGGGCCTCGGCGGCGGGCGCCCACAGCGCCCTCACCTCTGCTCTGCCCTCAGATGCCCCGGGGCGCCCAGGACCTCGCTCCCAGCTCTGAGGTCACCCGAAGCCTCCAGCCTGGGCCCGGCCAGCCCGTTCTCGCCCTCAGCGCCCTGCCATGGGGGAGCCCCTGAATAAAGATCGCTTCTCAGCTCCTCCTGGCTCCTGTCTGCCTGGGAGGGGGCGGGGAGGGAGGCCGCCCAGGGGCGTGGCCAGGGAGGGGGCCCAGGGGCGTGGCGCCGGCGGTGGTGGGCACTTGACTTTATGGCGGGCCTGCCCCAGGGAGCCCACAGCCTGAGGGGGCGGGGCAGGGGAAAAGGCAGGAGAGGCAGATAGCGGGGACAAGCAGAGGGGAAGGCGGGCGGGGAGGTGGGGGGTACTGGGGACCAAGGGGCATCTACGTGCCCCCAGCACACCGCCCCCCTTCCGGGGGCCCTACTGTGGGGTCCCGCTCCTGCACCTGCCACCACGCTGTCCCCCGGCCTCCCCACCACGCAGACCGGGGGGGGGGGGGGCAGGTGGAGCAGCTCTGGTCTCCAAGGAGCTTAAACCACTGCCAGCTAAGAGGGCCGGGGAGTCTGGAGGAAGGAGGCGGAGCTACAAGCGGCTGCCCCCCCCCCGCCCCTGCGCTGCTCCTGGTGGGGAGGGGGAAAGGGGAGACCCGCCTGGGGGGAGGGGACAGCCACACACACAGCAGCCAGGCAGGCCCGGCAGGGACACACGCACACCGCTCACCACCAGCATCCCCTTTAATAAAACATGGAAGGTTGTGAGACAGGACGTGGGGGCGGGGGGACGGGAGGGTGAGATATGACCATTTACAACCACAAAAAAAAAAAAAAAAAAAAAAAGGCCCACCACCTCTGTACACGCCGAGGCCTGGCAGAGGCGGCGGGCCGGGCGCGGCGGGCGCGGCGGCCCTATTTGTAGAGGATGTCGTAGTGTCCGGGCCGGTAGAGCAGGTAGACCTTGGGCTCGGAGCCCTCGGGGAAGACGTGCGGGTTGGTGGTGCCGCCCTCGCCGCGGTCCATGTACTCCACCTGGATGGAGACGCTGAGGGCCTGGGCCAGCGCGATGATGTGGATGTGGTCGCTCTCCTTGCACATGGGCTCCACCTCCTGCAGCACAGGGCAGCGCCGCGCAGCTCAGCCCCGCCCCCCCGCGCTCCCCCACCCCCGCGGGCGGCACCTGCTGGCAGAACTCCGCCCCCCGCCCCCCCCCGGCTCCCCCCACCCCCGCGGCGGCACCTGCTGGCAGAACTCCGCCCCCCGCCCCCCCCCGGCTCCCCCCACCCCCGCGGCGGCACCTGCTGGCAGAACTCCGCCCCCCGCCCCCCCCCCGGCTCCCCCCACCCCCGCGGCGGCACCTGCTGGCAGAACTCCGCCCCCCGCCCCCCCGGCTCCCCCACCCCCGCGGGCGGCACCTGCTGGCAGAACTCCGCCCCCCGCCCCCCCCCCCGGGTTCCCCCCACCCCCGCGGCGGCACCTGCTGGCAGAACTCCGCCCCCCGCCCCCCCCCGGCTCCCCCCACCCCCGAGGGCGGCACCTGCTGGCAGAACTCCGCCCCCCGCCCCCCCACCCCCGCGGCGGCACCTGCTGGCAGAACTCCTTGACGGTCCGCCCGCCCTCGATGAAGTGCTCGAAGAACTTGCTCTCGCGCTGCAGGTAGCCGGAGGTGAGCAGCCGCAGGTAGACCACGAGGTAGTCCGAGGTGCTCTGGTCGTTGAAGGAGGCCAGCAGGTCGGCGACGGAGGTCTGCTTCTCCACCTGCTCGATCAGGTCCATGAACTGCCGCCACGGAGAACGGGCACGGGTGAGCGGGGAGCGGCCCCCGCCAGGCCGCCCACGCAGGCACCCACCCGGGCTCACCGTGTTGTGGAAGTCCTCGATTGTGAACTCGGTGAAGCCCTGGGACACCAGGTCCTCCTTGCTCTTGGCAGACACGGCCTTGAACCTGGGGCGGCAGAGAAAAGGAGGCCAGCATGGGCCCCCAGGCCAGCACCGTGCGGCCCCAGACGCCGCCAGTCCCCAAGCCCCGTTCAGAAAGAAGCCCCGGGCGGGAGCCCAGACCACTGTCCGGCCTAGCCGCCAAGAAGGCGAAGCCGCCGAGGGAGGCCCCGAGCACGCCCCTGCCCACCTCCCTCGGCACCCCGCCTCCCTCACCGCTGCAACTCCTTGCTGTCGTCCAGCAGTGCCTCCAAGTGGGAAAACCCGAAAGCGCGGTAGAAGCAGTTTCCGTCAGGCCTGGTCTTGCGGATGTAGGAGTACTTTCTGTGGAGGTCCTGCAGGGGGCGCCCCACTCGACCCGTCAACATCAGGCCGACCTGGGGCTCACACAGAGACGCCCCGGCAAGGCCACACGAGGCAGGTGGCAGCTAGCTGCTGTCCCTGGCTCCCACCTCCAAGCTGCTAAGGTGTGAAGTTATCCCACCTAGAGCCCCCCAGCAACCTCAGGAAGCTGCAGGTCCCCCAAAGCAGGCACCAGCCCCAAGCCATGCCCTGCTGCTTGGCCTGCAGGGTGGTTTGCTGATAAAAACAGGCGTGTGAACCTGTCCCCCGCCAGTGCCGCGGCCCGGTGTTCCGACCTAAGGAACGTCAGGGCAGGGGGCACAGCGCCAGGCTCCACATCTCCACCGCACAGCCCAGCCCCAGCCCCCCTGGAAGCCGGACCCTGCCTCCCGCCTCCCCGCCCACCCACAGGTACCAGCAGCAGTCTTCCGACCCCTCCGGCTCCGGCTCCTCCAGGTGGCCGGGCTCACACTTGCTGTGCTCTCCTCCCACCCTCCCCCTTCCCCGGCAATGACCTTGTGTACCTCCTCACCCCTCGGCCAGCAGCACTTCCACCCTTGGCTTCCCGGCCGGCTCTATCTCCCTGCATCCTGCGCCCTGCGCCAGGGCTCCGGGGCACGTGCCAGTATGTCGTCCTCCCTCTGCACCAACTCCTCTCCCTGCTGGCGTACACCCGTCGGCACAGGGACACACGGCCAGCCCCATCGGTGCAGGGACACACGGCCAGTCCCGGTCGGCGCAGGGACATACGGCCAGTCCCGGTTGCGCAGGGACACACGGCCAGTCCCGGTTGCGCAGGGACACACAGGCAGCCCTCACTTCAGAAGGCCGGAAGCCCGAGTCCTCTCCCTCTCTACGGCAGAATTTTGGAAAGCGGCCAGGTGCACGGTCTCCGTGCTCTCCCACACAGGAGGCACCTGCTCCAGCCAAGGTCACAAACCCCGGGCAGCACTGCCCCCGGGGTCACCAGGTCCGGGTCCTTAATGACCCCACGGGTCCTTGTCGCCCCTGAACTCCAGGCAGACCCTCCTCACCCCTCCACCCTCCAAAGGTCAAGGCCACCACCAAACCACACTGCACCTTTCCTCAGTATTCCTGGGTCACCTCACATACCCACACGGGCGCCTGCCAGGGAACGCAGGCCACGCATGGTGCAGCAGGTGCCCCACGCGGCTTCCAGCAACAAGCTACGCTCACGCTCACGACAGCATCGAGCCCAAGTTCAACAGCCCCAAATGTAAACCCACGCGATGTCCGCCCTCCACTCCAGCTGAGTCTCACGTCCAGCTACCTCCCCCTTGCCTCAGAGCCCGGGCATCTTGGCCTACAGGGCCGGGGTGTGACCGCGCAGCCTCGCCCCACCCAGGCTTCCCGGTGTCCATCTGGGCCTCACCCACATCCAATACCAGCAGAGCCTCTGAGCACCCTAAATACCCAATCACTTCCCACGACACTCAAATACCCGCCCTAAACACCCAATCACTTCCTATGACACTCAAGTACATGCCGAGTGACCTGGAGCCCACCCCGTTGATTTCTACGGGAGACAGTGGGACAGGCAGCCTGGAGATGCGGCCCGGGGACACACCCCTCCGCACGGGACTGGCGCTGCAGGGCGCTGGCCAGCACCACCCTCAGCCCGCAGCTGCCCCTCGAGGGAGAAGGCCCCTCCTCCCAGAGACCGACAGCAGCAGGAAGCCGCAGGGGTCTGCTGCCGCAGCGTGGCTCCCCTCCCCGCAGGCCCCCCAGGGACGGCCACGTGTCCACCACAGACCACACGTGGACTCTTACTCAGCTGCCCACCGCCGCAGGGGGACCTCACTATTTCTGGCTCCCCTTGGCAAACTGGAGCTGCCCCAGGGCAGAGGAGGGGCGGACACTCGCTCTCGCTGCAAGGCTGCCACTGCCCACGACGGGAGGGGGGCCCTGCTGTCCACGTGGCCAGGCCACCTGCGCCCACAGGCCTCTCCTCGGGTGAAGGCTCCAAGCATCCCCGGTTCACTGTGGGGAGACGTTCACTACACCTCCACACCCGTCACGCTCTGCTCTCAGAACGCGGGAGGGGAGGGGCTGGCCCTGGCTGGTGACACCCACAGCCACCCACCTCAGCAGATCCAGGAGGCGGGCTGAGGGGCAGCCTCAGCCGTGGGGAGGCCCCGCCCAGCACACACCTGGCCGCACACAGGCCTCAGGACCTGCCCAGGACACCGCTGCTGAGGGGCGGGACCTGCATCTGGCTCAAGGTCTCTGGGCCAGAGCCGGCACACCTCCAGAACCGCCCCCCCCAGGGCACAGGCCCGGCAAGCCCCAGTCCTGGCCCTGCGGCCGGTGCCCACCTTGATCTTCTGTTGGTAGATGTTGTCGTCCTCCGCGTACTCCTTGTACAAGACCGAGAGTTCCAGCCGTTCGGACACCAGGGGGTTGTGCACCGCGATCTGCGGGGGGCAACACAGCCAGGACGCTGGAGCAGGGGCGGAGGGCTGGGCTGGGTACCCAGTAACGCGGGACAGAGCACCGTGCAGTGCCGCCCAGCCCGAGGAGGAGGGCGCTCCGAGGGAGAGAGACAACTCAGACCGGCCGGCCCTCGCCCAAGACCGGGTCACCGGCCTCTGCCCCCCCCGCTGAACGCCCCTCACCTCTTGCTGAATCCGGTCCTGCTGGGCCATGATGGCTTCATCGTAGGCCAGACAGTTAACACCTGGAAGAGGCCGAGGAGCCGGGGATAACTGGGCGTCCTGGCCCCTCCGCTGCGGACAGCTGGGCCAGGGATGCGCAGCTGGCAGCAGGGGCAGGCGTCCCACGCCCTTCTCCTCCCGAGCTGTGCCCAACTGGGAGAAATCCTTCCTCATCTTTAAAACGAGAGGAAGAGAGGAAGAGGCGACCAGCCCAGGGTCCGCTGTCCCGCCCGGCACCGGCCCAGGGTCCGCTGTCCCAGCCCAGCACCGGCCCAGGGTCCGCTGTCCCAGCCCGGCACCTGCCCAGGGTCCGCTGTCCCAGCCCGGCACCGGCCCAGGGTCCGCTGTCCCAGCCCGGCACCGGCCCAGGGTCCGCTGTCCCGCCCGGCACCGGCCCAGGGTCCACTGTCCCGCCCGGCACCGGCCCAGGGTCCACTGTCCCGCCCGGCACCGGCCCAGGGTCCACTGTCCCAGCCCAGCACCGGCCCAGGGTCCACTGTCCCAGCCCAGCACCGGCCCAGGGTCCACTGTCCCGCCCGGCACCGGCCCAGGGTCCACTGTCCCAGCCCAGCACCGGCCCAGGGTCCGCTGTCCCAGCTGGCACTGCCTTCCTCCCTGCTGTCCATCAGCACTGGCCTGCCCAGGAATGCTCGGGGGCAGGGCGAGGTCTCCTGGGGGGAAAGCAGGGGACTGCGGACAGAGCTTCCTGGGGGCCTGCACTTCCGCATCCTCCCACGGTACCCCTGATGGTGCCCATTTTCCAAAGAGCAAAACAAAGGCAGAGGGGTGAAGTCATCCTGGCAAGTAGAGACCTGCGGTCACGCCCACGTGTGTCCAATGCCCAGCGAGCCCCGCTCTGCTCCGCCACCTCGCCGCCGAGCCCCGGGCGCCCCAACCGCCCGCCTAGGCCCCCTGTGCTGCATCGGGGGGGGGGGTACCTTGGCGTGCTCTAGGAGCAGGGCCCCCTCTCTGCAGAAGTCCCATGCGCAGGGCTCGCGAAACCTGGATTCGGATCCTGGCTCGCTCTTAAATTCTGTGACCCTGAACAAGTCACTGCTGGGGCCTGGGCTTGCCGGTTCTCCGTGCCGGTGAGCGCTGAGCGACTTCTTGCAGGGTTAACGCAGCTGGGCCCCGGCCCGTGCCCTGTGCGGCTCTGCATCCGCCGCCACCCCCACCCCCCACCCCCAATGCCCAGCTCGGTCCCTGGGGCCCAGCGCCCGGACGGAAAAGGAGGCGGGTGGGGCCGCTTCCAAGGCACCCATGTCCTCAGGGGTCTAAGAAAACAATGGGCGGGCGGAGAGAGGCGGCCAGGCCAGAAGAGGGGGCTCTACCGGAAACGGCCGAAGTCCGAAGGGGCGGACGCCCACGGCCCCTCCGGGGCCAGCGCCGCCGCCCACAACACCGCACCCGGCCGAGCCGGCCCTCCACGCTGCTCGACGCCTCTCGGCCGCGAGCGAACGCCGACGCCGCGGTCCGGGCCTAGGCCTCGGCCGGCCCGACGGGGGCCCCGGCCCGGGAGCCCGGCGCGGAGGGCGGGGCGGCCCAGGCCCCGCCCCGGGCGCGCGCCGGCGGTCAGGCCGCGAGACTGCCCGCCCCGCCCGGCCGGGGGTCGCGGAGGGAGCGCCTTCCATTGTGAGGGGGCAGGGAGGCGCGGAGGCAGCGGCCGTCCGCGCGTCGCGGCCGCCCCGGCCGCCCCGCCTCCGCCGCCTTCCCCGAGAACAGCCGGCCCGGCCTTGCCCGCCGCGGGCCCGGGCCGGACACCCCTCCCGCGGTCCGCACCTTCGGAGTCGCTGCCCAGCGGCTCCTGCTTCTGCTGCTGAGGTTCCTCCGCCGCCATCTTTAAACAGCGCCGCACCGCCGAGCGCTTCCGGGTTACAGCCGCCCTCCTCCCGGAAGCGAGTCCCGCCTGGCGGCCCCTCCTTGGCAACGGCCCTAGCAACGGGGTCCCCGCGGGCGGTGGCCGCGGCGGCGCAGGTGCGGGGCCCCTCGGGAGCCGGCCGCCCGTAGCCGCGCCTCCGCGTGCTCGGCTCTCCCAGCCCCCGAGTTCCGCGGCGTGGCCGCGAGCCTCCTGCAGCCGACTCAGCTTTCTCTGGGGCTGGAACTGCGGGCTGCGTGATGGAGACCCGTAGGACGAGTTCAGCTACAATCACTGCAGGCTCCTCCAGCTGCGGGCGCCGGCACCCCTCGCAGGCGGCTGCAGCTGCAGTGCCGAGCGCTGGCGAGGGCACCGGGAGCCGGCCGCACCGCCGTCCCCACCGTGGCTTTGGCGACCTGCTGCCCCCAGGGACGGCGTCCCCCTTGGTGTCCCGGCTGTGGGAAAGCGGTCGTTACACGCGAGGGCTTAATAGGACAATCGAGAGTGGCTGGGGGGTTAGGAGAGGGGCTGGAGGCACGTGACTCTGAGGGCCGAGATGGGCCACACCTCGACTGTACCAGTGTGGGGGTCCTGGCAGTGGGGGAGACCACACAGAATCTGTTATTCCTTAAGGTCGCGCGTAAGTTAACTAGGCTTTTAATTTTTTTTTTTATTTTTTGACAGGCAGAGTGGACAGTGAGAGAGAGAGAGAGAGAGAGAAAGGTCTTCCTTTTTGCTGTTGGTTCACCCTCCAGTGGCCGCCACGGCCGGTGCACCGCACTGATTCGATGGCAGGAGCCAGGTGCTTCTCCTGGTCTCCCATGGGGTGCAGGGCCCAAGCACCTGGGCCATCCTCCACTGCACTCCCTGGCCACAGCAGAGAGCTGGGCTGGAAGAGGGGCAACCGGGACAGAATCCGGCGGACTAGAACCCAGTGTGCCGGCACCACAAGGTGGAGGATTAGCCTAGTGAGCCGCGGCGCCGGCCTTAATTTTTATTTGAAAAGAGCAGCAGAGCGAGAGAGATCTTGCATCTGCTGCTTCACCCAGCACCAGCCAGATCGGGACCCAGCCAGACCAGAACCCGGAGCTCTGTCTGCGTCTCCCACACGGGTGGCAGGGCCCCAAGCACTTGGGCCTTCTCGGCTGTCTTCTCGGGCACGTTAGCAGGGGGCTGGTCAGAGCAGATGGACTCGCTGGATATGGGATGCTGGCGTTGCAAATGGCGGCTTAACCGCTGTGCCGCACCCTGTCCCCAGGGCTAATTTTTAAAATGGCAAAGCCACGGATGCTGAAGATGTGTTAGTCCCGCGGGCACGCTGGCTCTTGCCTTTTCAGCCTCGAGGGAACTTTTTATTTTTTTATTTATTTGCAAGGCAGAGTTAGAGAGGAGAGGCAGAGAGAGTACACAGATCTTCCAGTCGCTGGTTCACTCCCCAGTTGGCGGCACCATCCCGGCCAAAGCCAGGAGCCAGGGCTGCTTCTGGGTCTCCCACGCGGGTGCAGGGGCCCGACCTGGGCCGTCCTCCGCTGCTCTCCCAGGTTCATGAGCAGGGAGCTGGCTCAGAAGTCGAACAGCCGGGACTTGAACCAGCACCCAAGTGAGAAGCCGGCGCCCCAAAGCCAGCCTCTCATGGACGCTGTGACACTGTCCCCTAGCGCTCCAGGAGGTTCCGGAAGGCACAGGAAGGGATCTGTCAGGACGTTGTGGGTCGTGAGGCCAGGCCTGGAGGGCGGGCAGGTGGTGGTCGGGCTCGCAGACCTGTGTCCCAGCAAACCAGGCTTTATGGGCCCGCTGGGCTTTGGGGCTGCTTCCGGATTCAAGACAGCAAGAGCCCCCCACCCCCCTTTTGGAACCATTTTCCCTGTCTGAACAGGGAAATGCCTACTGGCAGTCGGAAGTGCCATCGGCAGCAGAGAACTGGCCTTCCCGGACGCAAAGCAGCACAGCGGATGGCGAAGACCTGGTCTCCTTGGAGCCTTGAAACTGGCTATCAGCCCAGCCCCCACCCACCGTGTTTGACACGCGGAGTCCGTGCAGGGGCCGGGTAGGGACTGGGGCAGCACAGCCAGGCGGCCTCCCTCCCAGCCCAGGAGCTGGGGCTTGGAGGAGCCCCGCACCCCCAGTGCCCTCGGCACCCAGGGCCTGGGCCTGCCCTCCTGTGGACAGACAGGGAGGAAGCAGCCGCGGAAGCTCGCTCACCCAGCCCCAGGATGGCCACCTCGTCCCAGCTCTCCACCCCATCAACTGTCCTGGTGCTTTTGCCGTCTTTGGGCTTTTGATTCTTTATCCAGAATTATCCAAACCTGCCAGCAGGGGCCCAGCCGGCTAAACCGCCATGTGAGACCTCCCCATCCCCCAGTGGCGTCCCCGCCCCCTAAGTGGGAGACCCGGATGGAGCTCCTGGCTCCAGCCTGACCCAGCCCCGGCTGGGGCACCCTTTTGGGGAGTGAACCAGCAGGTGAAGACCGCTCCCTGCCTTCCAAGTGAATCTTTAAAAAAAAAAAAAAAAAAAAAACCTGCCCAGCCCAGATGTTTGGGCTCTGCCTGTCAATTTGCCACCCAGCAACGGTCCCCTGCTGCTGGCCTGGCTGCCAAGGGCCTGTGACAGTGCAGCACAGGCGCTTGGCTTCAGGCTGCCTGCTGGACACAGTCACCAAGGTGACAGGCAGCGGCCACGGGGCAACACGGCAGATGCCTCTGCTGGAGAGCGCAGGCCCAGGCCCCACATCCACCTCTCTAGGGCTGGAGAGGAGACTGCACACTGAGACCCAGGGGCTGTGAAACCTCGGCCATGTCGGAAGAGCCTGCAGAACGGCCCAGAGACCCAGGCCCATCTGACACCCTCCACCTCTCAGGGGCGCGGGCCAGGTCGGGCTCAGGGGCCCTGGGACAGCACAATCCCCACGGGATGCCATGGCCACGAGAAAGCCTCAGAGTGGCTGAAGACGAGGGCCCGGGAGTCAGGCAGCCACCGCACAGCAGGAACAGGGCGTGCCTGGCCCCTAGAGACCCTTTGGGCGGCTGCTGCTGTCCCCAGGCAGCCGGCCTGCCATCGTGGCCCAGGGGTCTTGGACCACCGCAGAGGCCATGCTGCTGCCGCTGAACGGAGTGGGTGCTTCCAGGCTGTCACCTGCGGGATCCACAGGTGCACCGGTGACAACGGAGCGTTCCCCCAGCCACCTCACACGGCCTGCCCCGCCTCTGTTCAAGTCACTGCGGAGGGTCCGCCGAGCTGCTGCCAGCCCCCTCCCCACACCAGAACGACGTGTACTTTCCTTACCACCCCCGTGACAAGTCACCACAAAGCCAGTGGTCTCCGCACGGGGTCTCCGCAGCTCTGCAGGTCTCGCTGGAGCCTCCGCGCTGCTGAGGGGCGGTCCACTTCCTGCTCACCCAGGGGCAGACCTGAGGCCCGCCCAGCTCGAGGACTGTGGCACCGTCTGTCCCCAAGGCCACCGCGTTCCCCGGCTCACTTCTGTCCCCCCAGCCAGCAACAGCAGGCTGGGTCCTTCTCAGGTGCACTAGGTCCACCAGCATGAGCCCGGATGCGCCCGTTTCAACGCCCTCGGCCTGTCACGTCCGCCGTGAACGCGACCCCCTTACAGGGGCTCCAGGGTCTGTGGGGCCAGCTACGCGGCCTCCACTGCTCCGTCCTGAGGAGCGAGGCTCGGGGAGACTAAACACACGCGGCCACTGTCAGGGGTGAGCGGCCCAAGGACCCAGCCTGGGTCGCCGCCCTGAGTGGCAGGTGCCCACTGCGGCTCCCCACCTGCACACAGGACTACAGCCTGGGCGGAGCTGGGCAAGGCCAGGTGACGGCCACACTGAGGACCAAGGGGAACGGGGCTCAAACACGACACCCCTGCCCCTCCACCTGCAGCCCGTGGAGCCGAGGGGGCTGGGGCAGGCTAGGCTGGCTGAGGCCGTTCTCGGAACAGGGTCCTGGAGGACTCGCCTGGCCTCCCACCTGAGACACGGACCTTGGGGCTGGCGCAGTCCTGAGGATGGGACCATCACCCCTCCCTTCCTGAGTTCCAGGGCAAAAGAAACAACAAACCCATGGGCATCAGTCAAATCCTTCAGGGCAGTGGAGTAACCATGGAGACCGTGGGCGCCCCACCCTTGCGGTGTGGCAGGCCAACAGCCAGAGCCCTGGGGAGTGGAGGCGTGGTCAGACCAGCCCTGCCGCCCACGCTCCAGCTTCCCCAAGGGGGCTCGCACCCACCCGGGGAGTCGGGGAGCTGCCAGGCCAGCGGCGGATCCTAAGCCTAATCACTACCCAGGGACGACAGGGACAGGACAGCCAGGAGGTCCCTC